AAAATCTAACGTACAGCTGCAGTAGTGCATTACAATTAAATAGTGAACATTGCTTTCTGACTTCATTCTTTAACAACCCAACTAACAATATTTTTTTCTGTTCAGGTTCTGATGCATTTATAAGTTGATAATATTTGCGATGGCTGCTTGTGTCAGGACGAGGAACCAAAAATCCAGCCATCTCAGTCACTATCTTGGGTCTGGGAGAGAGCTCCTGAAGTCGGAGTTGCCTACATTGAGAGATGCTTTGAGATACGGTGTTTTAATCAGGCAAATCAGTGAATAGAACCAAAGAACTTACACAAACAATGACATTGCCAGTGATATGACCAAAGCTGTCTTGGCACAGTACACTCTGGCTAACGCTCAGTTCAAGCCTCCAGTCATAACAAGTCAAAAGAAGATTAGTGAGAGACTGCTAGCCAGTTGGGAAAAGGCAAGAGATATCTCTCTTGGGAGAGGAAAACTTGCATTTAAGGACAGCTTTGCCAAGCAACTGGACCAGTTATTTGACATAATTACTTGCAAGTGCCCAATTGTTCTCTGTCCTGAGTTTGGATGCGATTGTGACTGTAAATCCGAGGCCCACATCTCCTGTATTTGCAAGCGTGAACTGAAGATTCCTGTGATCGAACTGGCATTTGTCAAAGCACAGAGAGAGAAGACTGGCAGTATAGGGGCTCTCATGATTTCTAGCCAAGATATTCCGGAGTCCAAGAGACAGGAGGCTGCCACAGAGAGACAGAAGAGGAGAAGCGTTGCCGAGGAAAAGGAGACTTGAGAAGGCCCAGGGTGAGGTAAAAAAGGCCGATGATTGGAGTCAAGCTGATTCAGAGTTTAATGACTTCCCCATGGCTGATCCGAGTGCTGACCAGGAGAATGGTGACTTTGTCCCTAACCCAGAAAATAATGATCCCAAACCTTCCAGGCATAAGATTCGAAATAGGAAAGATATCCCGAGCATAGCTCTGGCCAGCATGCGACACCACACTGGTCTCAGAGAAACTGCAGAGATAGCAACAGCTGCCTGGATTGACGGTGGTTTGATAACACCTGATGATGTTCACCTGGTGATAGATCATAACAAAGTAAGGAGAGCTCAGGAGAAACTTGTCAGTAACCTAGAAGAGGAGTTTGATAAGGGATAAGAGAAAATGGAATCAATTGTTTGTTCTTTGATGGGAGAAGGGATGACACTAAAGTGTTCATGAAAGTTGGAGATTCTGACAAGTTGTTCCCTGCCATGGTGAAGGAGGAACACTACTCCTGCTGCAGTGAACCAGGAGGGAAGTATTTGTGGCATTTCACTCCAGAGAAAGATGACATCAGGAAACCAGCTGAGATAGTGGCAGATAACATTGTGAACTGGCTCAGAGAGAGGAACGTAGACCAGACCCTGCAGGCCATTGGAGGGGACAGCACCAACACGAACACAGGGTGGCAAGGGGGGGTCATACAGTGGATAGAGCTGAAGATTGGGAGGAAGCTGGTCTGGATTGTTTGTGACCTCCACACCAACGAGTTGCCACTCAGACATCTGATCCAGGAGCTGGATGGCAAGACTCTTTCAAACAACAGATGGTCTGGTCCTCTTGGCAAGATGCTGGACTCTGCCACTGAGTTAGAAATAAATCCGAGCTTTGAAAAATCACAGTTGGCCCTCCACTCGTTGAGCTTGCACATACTGTCATTGACGACCTGAGTACTGACCAGTACTATGGTTACATGATTTGCAGTGCCATCAAAACTGGGGTCATGCCTGATAGACTTGCTTACCTGCAGATAGGTCCAGTCTCACATTCTAGGTGGCTCACAACGGCTCTCAGGTTCTGCAGAATTTGGGTCGCTCATCATAAACTGAAAGGGAACCAGCTTCACAACCTGAGACTTATTGTCCAATTCATCGTGAGTGTCTACTTGCCAAATTGGTTCAACACCAAGGTCAAGTCATCGTTCTCCGAAGGTCCGAGGCATGTTCTCTTCCAGCTTGAGCTCCTGAGGAGTCAGCCAAGGAAGGTTGTTCAGATTGTGGAGCAGACTGTGAGGAGATCTTCCTGGTATGCTCATCCCGAGGCAGTTCTGCAGACAATGCTCTGCAGGAAGGATGAGGAGGAGAGAAGAGTGGCAGTCAAAAAGATCTTGGATATGAGACTTATGAGAGGATCTGGGCATGACGAATCAGTTGGTGACGATTCCTTCAGGGTCAGGAAGACTCCTGAAGTCAATCTAGGTGCCAAGACCCTCACTGATCTCATAGATCTGGATAACATCCAGGCTGGCAGTGAGCCCCCTCTTACCTGCAGCCTCACCAATGTTTAAGTCAGAGCTTTCCTGGACAACCCCATGCATGTCCCTGCCTGGCCCTCGCACACCCAGAGTATAGAGCGTTGTGTACAGCAAGTGAGCGTGGCCAGCAGTCACGTGTACAGCCAGGAGAGGAGGGAAGGCTACATCCGAGCTCAGGTGGTCAGCAGGGAGGTGATGAGTAGAAACAGAAGCAAGAAAGACATGTTCTCTATGGTGTGCAGCAACACCGGGTCGTAGTAGTAAAACCGGTTTTTGTATTTGATGATTTTGTTTTCTAAAGGAATATTAAATTTAATAAATGTGTCAAGATCATTCGTTTCACTATTCTGGATCATTTTCATCCTAATAAATTAACCTGAAACATTTACTTTACTTTAAATAAGCTATTTAGTGGTGTTGGTAAAAGGGTGGGAATACTGAATTTTCATAAGATTTCAAGTTAAAATTTACCTAGCAAAAAATAAAAACTTTTCAAATCTGAAGATATCACATGATTCTGCACATAGAACTACATCATTAATACCATGGGCCGATTTTTCAACGTAAAAAAAAAAAAATCGCCTCCGTATGACACACCCTAGCGTATTACGGCATTAATATAAAGATCAGGATTAACAACCCTTGGATACTTGAAACGGAAGGGCGTATTACGGCATTTATATAAAGATCCGGATTAACAATCCTTGAGTAAACAGGAAGGGCGTATTACGGCATTAATATAAAGATCTGGATTAACAACCCGTAGATACTTGAATTATTGACCCCGAATGAGATAATGAGAAGAACAATAATTGAGGCTTTATAATTATGGGGTCCTGGTAGAGCGGGGCGTCCCAAGATATCACTTCACCCTAAACTAGTGACTATGGAACAGCCTTCTCTGGAGCGAGGGTACGGCATTAAACAGATCCGGATTCTTCCCTACACTCGATAAGACTTACTACACGACTGCCACGTGTAATAACAGGTAAGCCTTAGGCCACTTGGAACCTAATATCCTACGTCTGTCACTCTTACTGTACGATAATACCAATATATGCACACACATATGAAGGGAACTTTAAACCACCGGAGAGCAATTGTGAACAGAAGTGACTGGGAGGAATAATTAACAAGGAGTAACAAGGGGTGAAGAAATATGGCACTTAATGTTGGGTCCTGTCACGGTCGCCATTTGTTACGAGTTGGGGATTTAGAATATAGTTAAAAGTCTACCCAGATCCCAACAGGCAACAACAATAAAAAAAACAAAGACAATCGGACTATAAAAGGGTAGACAAAGGATGCGAGTTTTTGTTGTGTATAATAAAGTACCATAAATTCCTTAACAAAGTATTCAGCTTTCTATAATTTACCCCTAACCATACTTAACCTAAACATACGCAACATTGGCTTTACAGTATATACATATTTATACAACATAAAACAATCGTGAAGTAAGGTGGAGGTGGGAGGCAATATAAGATTACAAATACTTTAGTGCGGAGCTGAGATGGCTGACGAGTAAGGCTGAGTATTGTAGAAGACGGTAGGTAGTCACTGTGCCGTAGGTTTCCAGGATAGGTGATCCTGTGGTCACTTCCCAGAGTGAACTGAACTCTCATCGAACTGGAGCTGGTCTAGCCTGGGGCCGCGAGGCACTCATTTACTGTGTGTTGCCACGGGAAGCACAACAGAAGTCTTGATGGTAATAAGGCTGTGTACTGGCAGGGGATGACTTATGCAAGGCTGCTTCCCTGTTCACTATGAAGGCTAGCTAGCGGCAGTAGCTGAAAGCGAAAAGAACCAAGCAGTGCCTGCACCTTAACACTGACATAATGCTGCCTCACTATATACATTACACCACCCTGTGCACACACACACACACACACACACACACATACAAGAAAAGTTCATAGACAGTTATAAAAGTACACATTGTTAACTTAAACGCACATACAGATATATAATGAGTGACAGATAACTGCGTACTTGCCTAATAATGTCACTAGCATACACAAATAAGCATGCACATCCACACTACCAACTAAAAAAACACGCTTACACAGCGTCAAGAAAGCGCATACATTGAGAGACATATACACAGATACACACATACATAGCGTATGTATTACACACTGTTTTAAAGCTCTTGGATATGAAATGAGATGCTGAGACAACTTGGATAACTGTGCCTACACGGGTAGTAGAGATCCAATAGATAAAGTCATCCCATGGATAAAAGGCACCCCATGGATAACAGGCAATCCATGGATAATTGGCACCCCACGAATATTTTTCACCACATGGATGATATGCAATCCATGGATAATTGGCATCCCAAGCATAATTGGCACCCCCATGAATAATTGGCATCCCATAGATAATTGGCACTTCATGGATAACTGGCACCCTATAAATAATTGGCACTCCATTTATAATAATTGATACCCCATGGATGATAGACAACCTATGGATAATTGGCACCCCATGGAAGATGGGCGCCCCATGATTAATCAACAACCATTAGATAGTAGACATCCCACGGATAATTAATCGGGACTCAGCAAATAATGGAGATGACAGAATAAATCACGGGGGCGGATACTGGCAGAAGGAAGGTTGTGTGAAGCCTCGACAGTCACACTAACAGTAAAAGATAACATTGTTCCCGAGTAGACACAACCGCGGGCAGATAAAAACACCATGTTAGTATACAACGGCAAGTTAGAAAGGTGCCAGCATTCAATCAAGCATATGGCAGTCTAAGGGTATCATAGCCCCAAGTGTGTTGCAATTCAAGTGTATCACAGATCAAGTGTCATCGCTCAAGTATCATAGCTCAAGTGTATCACAGCTGAAGTGTCAAAGTATCACAGTCCAACTGTATCACAATATGAGATTGGAATTCTAACTTTCTCCTTGTTCCATTCCGCAGTAGGTGTTGAGTATTTGGTCTATCCTGTGGTTTCTGGTGGAAAGAGAAGCTGCCTCCCATGTTCATTTGGTTTCTAATGCAGGACTGGCAGTCACCGTCTCGATTCTTCACTTGAACAGTAGTTCTAGTTTCTGCCGAATATGTTATTAATTGCCTGCCGGTGGTATAGGTTTCTACTGAAGGGGTTCCTGGCTGTGCCTCTGCTATTCAACTTCTGTCTTTGGTTTCAGTTTAATTTCTATACCAAAGGAGGACGCAACACTTCAAAACACCACCATCTGTTTAAAAAAGAAACCGCTATTCCCCTCCGTGTATAGTTGCTGAGTGTGTTAGTAAAAGAGAAAACGTACCGAAGTAACTCATCAAAAAATGAGTAAGTTTCTTTTTTTCCGAAAATTCTCTAAGTTCACAGCATTAATTTAAGATCAACACTATCAAATAATAGAATAAATCATTAATTTCTACAAACATTGATTTTTGTCATTTTATCAATTTCGTTTCTATAGACGGCAGTATAATCCATAATATTGATAGTCACTAATTAGGGGTCCAGAGTTGTATTATGTTATTTCTATTTCCGTCAATATAACTAAATATAATTATGAGTACATTTCGTTATAATGATTACATGTGTGTGTGTGTGTGTGTGTGTGTGTGTGTTTCAATTTCAAATTATTGTATGTTGCTTCTCTCATACACCAATATTTCAGCATATGATGTGTTGGGGTGTACAGTATATGTATCACACACCTGCAATGACATCATCACACCTAACATCCTACTTGGTGAAGGTACTAACGAAGTGTGGTCCTTCCCTCAGGTCAACGAGGGATTGCTTTGACTTTCAGACTGCTGTTACTGTGGGCGTGGGCGGCCTTCTGCCTCACCCAGGCTCCCCGGGACGTTCAAGTCAAACCCAACCTCATCAGCAGCGCCTCAGGTGGGAAGGTGGCAGCAGTGAACATAACCTGCGTGAATGTTGAGGAGGTTATACTGGAGGTCAAGTTGATACGAGACATTATCAATAACTTTAAGGACAATTACGTGAGTGTTTTGTGTCATTAGCCTGCTGAATTTGTCTTACTGTGTAACAAAATCAAACTCACACACAAGCTAACAAACACACACATACATTCAGAAACAGACCAGAAATAACATAATTAATCTCCATTCAAACAAACGTTGTATATTCTAAGATTGTGTTGCCCATGGTAACATCCATATTCTTAACACAGAGATTTCTATATCTCATAATGTTTATTGTTGTTAGACCAGTGTATTGCTGCCCTTCTTGCTATGCGCTTAAAAACCTTTGTTGTCGAAGCGTAGTAATACCATTAGAAAAAAAACAACCATATTTAATAGAGGGTGTTATCTCTCTCTTTTTAATATGATTAGAATAGTGTAATTACTAAACTTGTTATGTACTCAAACACCATCGCTGTTGAGGCGCAATAATAACATAATAACTACAACCATTATCTCGAGATGAAACGCGTACTCGTATATCTCTTGATTTCTACGTGTTGTTGACTAGCGCACTTACTTATCTAGATTATACGCTTAAACACTTTCGTCTTTATTCAACACATATTCTTGAAAAAGAAGAAAACTAAGGTGCTCCATTGTTTCCCTTATCCCTGTGTGATGTTATCAAGATTTATCTTATCCACGTTTTCATTGTGGATCTACATCAAATATTATATATATATATATATATATATATATATATATATATATATATATATATATATATATATATATATATATATATATATATATATATATATATATATATATATATATATATATATATATATATATATATATATATATATATATAAAGTAGCTGTTCAATGCTTTGCTTATTTGTTCACTGTCATCTTCAGAGGCAACTAGATTACATGGACAAAGAGAGGCTTAAATATACAGGGTGACCTTATTAAACATAAGGTCAGGTCATAATGATGTCATCCACTAATCCCCACACCATAAGAACATAAGAATATAAGAAAATAATGTGTCTGCAATAGGCTGGTTGGCCTGTGCATGGCAGCTCCTGTCGAGAGTTACTACCAATCTCTATCATCCATGAATCTATCTAGCCTCCTTTTAAAACTTTCCAGCGTTCCAGCTCTTACTACAAAGTTGCTAAGCTTGTTCCACTCGTCCACCACCCTATTTGTGAACCAGTTCCTTCCTATCTCCCTCCTAAACATAAACTTATCCAACTTAAATCCGTTGCTACGAGTCCTATGCTGCTCGGATATTATAAGAACTTTATCTATATCCCCTTTATTGATTCCTTTCACCCACTTAAATACTTTTAGCATATCTCCCCGCACTCTTCGTCTTTATAGGGAAGGTTTCTAAGTCCCGGAATCATTTTCCTCATTCTTCGCTGCACCGACTCCAGTGAATTGATATCCATTCTATAATAAGGGCACCAGAACTAAACCGCATAATCGAGGTGCGGCCTGACTAGCGCAAGATATAGTTGCAATAAGACCTCTGCACTCTTATTACTTATACTTCTAGATATAAAACCTAATACTCTGTTTGCCTTATTTCGAACATTAACGCACTGTTTTCTAGGCCGTAGGTCCGGGCTTACAAGTACCCCTAAGTCTCTCTCACAAGTCGACTTCCCTAGGTTGATGTTTTTAAGGCTGTATACTTTGACAGTATTTGTTCTTCCAATATTAAGTACGCTGCATTTGCTGGTGTTGAATTTGATTTGCCATTTTTCTGACCATTCGTGCAACTTATTTAAATCCTCCTGTAGTGCATTTGCATCCTGCCCTGAATTAATCTGCCTCCCTATTTTGGTGTCATCCGCAAACTTGTTTATGTCACTGCTGATCCCAGTATCTAGATCGTTTATGTAGATTTTGAACAAGGGTGGGCCTAGTACTGACCCCTGGGGAACCCCACTGGTTACACAGCCCCACTCAGATTTAACACCATTTACGCTGACCCTCTGCGTTCTACCGGTGAGCCATGATTTTATCCAATTTAAAACTTCCCCTCGATATCATGGGCCTTAACTTTTCTCAGAAGCCTCTGATGCGGTACTATGTCAAATGTTTTGCTAAAGTCTAAGTAAATAACATCGTAATTTTCGTCATTATCTACTATCTCGAAGACTTTCCTAAAAACCGTCAGCAGATTTGTTGGACAAGATTTTCCCTTTGTAAACCCATGTTGAGGGTCGTAGATTAATTTGCTTTTCTATAAATGCGATCGGATGCTATTTACTATAATTGATTCTAGAAATTTCACCACTACTGACGTCAAACTGATCGACCCGTAATTTGACGCTGATGCTCTGTCTCCCTTTTTGAATATAGGTGCTACATTTGCCTGTTTCCACAAGTCTGGCACAACTCCCGTGTCCAATGATCTTGTAAATAAATTTATGAAGTGTCTGCTAATCTGTTCCCTACACTCTTTCAAGACTCGAGGGAAAATTTAATCCGGCCCTGGGTATTATGTATTCTGTAATTTATTTATCCTCTTAAAAACATACTCTTTTCTGAAAGTGATATTATTTAATTTCTCTTCTTCCTTTCCCCTACATATCAGTTCCATCTCTGGAATTCCCTCGTGAATTTCTTCTGTGAAAACTGATAAAAAGTAGCTGTTCAATGCTTTGCTTATTATTTCACTGTCATCGATCACTCCCCTCCCCCTGACTTTAAAGGCCCAACATTGTCCTTGACCTTTGTTCTATCTACCTGGAAAAATCCCTTGGGATTCGCCTTGGATCTCTTGCTATCCTGATTTCGTAGTCTCTCTTTGCTTTCCTTACATTTTTCTTAACATCCCTAGATAGTTCATTATACCTATTTCTGAGCTGCTCCTCCCCTCCCTTTAATTTCTTATAAATTCCTTTCTTTATTCCTATGTCATGTTTAAGTTTTCTGGTCATCCACCTTGGCTCATTCTTATTTGACCTAATTTTTCTGTATGGTATATTTTGTTCTTGTGCTTTACGTAGTACACGAGTGAACATATTATATTCATGATCAAATGTTGTGTCACATGTGACCTCACCCATTCATACCTGGGACTGACCTGACTGTTCCCAGGTGATCTCACCTAGGTACCTTCTTAATCCCTGATAATCCGCCAATCAAAGTTTGGGACTCTGACCATATTGTCATTGTTTTTCATTTCTCAATTTAGGGTGAACCTGATTTCTCTGTGATCACTGTTACTTAGTTCTTCCCCTACTGTGATATCTCTGATGATATTTTCTTTAGTTGTTAATACTAGGTCTAATATATTGTCACCTCTAGTAGGTTCTGTAATTAGTTGTTTCAAAAAATTGTCCTGTACTGCATCTAGGAAGTCTTCAGATTCATAGTCACCTACAATGTTGTCCCAGTCAATATTTCTGAAGTTGAAATCCCCCATAATGCACAGATTGTTATATTATGCTGCCCTACTCATTTCCTGCCATATGGGCTGAGCTGTTTCCTTCCCAAGACTTTGGGGTCTGTAAATCACTCCCATAATTAGTTTTCTCTTCCTTCTGTAATTTCTACCCATACAGACACGGTTCCTATTTCACCCTTTATTGATTTATTAATACAACATTTTAATGTGTCCTTGACGAAGAGTGTGACCCCTCCCCCCTTCCTACCTTACCTGTCCTTGTGAAAAAGGTTGTACCCTTCTATGTGGTACTCGGATAAAAAATTTTGCTCGCCAGATTCATCCAAGTTTCGGTGATTGCTATGACGTCTACATTCTCGGTACATACGACCGCTCTCATCAAGTCTATTTTATTTCTAATGCTCCTACTGTTTGCATAGTATACATTTAAACCTACCCTTCCCTGGTCCGGTTTTGCCCCTTGTCCTGAGTAACCAATTTTACTTCCCAGGACCTGCTTGTTTTTTGACTCCCATTTACTCTAACCTCTCTCTACTGGCAAAACCCCCGCTTTGGAGTGACAATTTCACGCTCCAGGGATGCAGACAACGTCTTTACCCCCGCACGAGACAAGTGTACTCCGTCACGACCAGTGGCTACTCGTGACAAAAAAAATGGAGGGACTGCAAGCCTCACACCGAGTCCCCACCAAACAATAAGCATGGAAAGCAGAATAAAGTATTTGCCTCGTCACAACCACAGAGCCATTCACATTTCTGATAAACACTGATGTTAAACTGGCGTGTATATTCTTTGTTCCTGCTTGTACTGTTCTGAAATTCCATGCTTATTGTTTGGTGGGGACTCGGTGTGAGGCTTGCAGTCCCTCCATTTTTTTTTTCACGAGCCGCCACAGGTCACGACTGTTCAGGTAGTCGTTGCCATAGAATGGTTGCCATTTATCAACGAACACACCAACGCTCACGTAGAGGAGCTTAAGAGAATGGGGGGCGACGTGACTACTCAGGTCAGGTAAAAAATACGGGACCCACTAAATAACTATCCTACATCTAGCTCCAAGGTTTTCAAAGCATTTTTAACCTTGGGCCACTGACAAATAAATTTATGTAACATATTATCAGCTGTGTACTGACCATCACTAAGGTTTATTGATTTTAATTCCTTAATCAAACAAATTAAAATCAATAAACCCTAGTGATGGTCAGTACAAAATTGATATAATGTTACCTAAATTTATTTCTCAGTGGCCCAAGGTTAAAAATGCTTTGAAAACCTTGGACCTAGATGTAGGATAGTTATTTAGTGGGTCCCTTATTTTTTACCTGACCTGACCTGACTAGTCACGTCGCCCCCTTTCTCTTAAGCTTCTCTACGTGTGTGCTGGTGTTGGTGTGGGGATTAGTGGATGACATCATTATGAACTGACCTCATGTTAAATAAGGTCACCCTGTATATTTAAGCCTCTCTTTGTCTATGTAATCCAGTTGCCTCTGAAGTTGTCTTGAATAAAGACGAAAGCTAAGGTGCTCCGTTGTTTCCCTTTTCCCCGTGTGATTTTATCAAGATATATCTTATCCACGTTTTCATTGTGGAGCTACATGAAATATATGTGTGTATATATATATATATATATATATATATATATATATATATATATATATATATATATATATATATATATATATATATATATATATATATATATATATATATATATATATATATATATATATGTAATATTCAGAAATTTCGTAATTTCAAACACCGCGCCATTGGCGATACTGAGCTTTCAAGGTCGTCGGAGGGAAGAGAGCGCTCCCTGCACATAGCGAGAGGTTGTGGAACTAGGCCTAAGTGATATTAAATGTAATTTGCCGAATTAATAATGATGCGATTCATGAAGTTAAGGGACTATTATTGAATTTGAAATTATTATAGATCGTTTATCAGTCTGAATAATGTCACGGGTGTCCCAAGGAGTTATTACTTAGGCGGAAAATATGTCACGTAGGCCTAAGCTAGCGCCTTGGAGAGGAGCGACGCTGGCTGGTCCTCAGTCAGGTGAAAGCGATTGGACCTACAGGACATCCCTGCGCGTCCGTCCACAGAAATAGTCACGTGGTCTAGTCACCTGTGCTGCGCTATTGCAGTATAACAAGTAAGTCTCATTCAATCTCAGACAGGGTTTAGATAGGGCAGTGATAAAGTTAACTAGAGCTAACAGTGAGTTCATTTTAGGGTTTCCGCCAGGACCCACTTGACTGCGAGAGATTGACTGCCGTTTGAGACTGCCGTTGATAATTGAGGGTGGCGATTGTCGCCATTGGACCGATCAGTGTAGGCCTGTCACTGTTTAGCGGGGTATCAAAGGATCTCTTGAGGGAATCTAGCCGTCTGGGTGCCCAGCTGACGACGGGACGATCGTTGGGGTCATCAGCTCTCCTCTACCTCGGCTCACAATACCACATGTTTCAAGCAGCTTCGTGAAACCCTCTTGCTAACGGGAAGCTAAAGCTTCTCTCAACTGTACAAGGTCTGATTGGCTCACTCCCTTCCGCTTTATGGATGTACCTGGGGTAAAGTGAAGCTAGCTGAGTGATACAGGGTCGCACACTGGGGCCAAGAGTCAGTGGAGTTTAGAGGTACACTTTCCAAGGTGGAGAAAGGCTGATTTGAGCCTTCAACTACGGGTGCCTGTTGGTTGTGCCTTAAACGACTACGGAGTGCAGGTGGAATCTGTGTGTGTGTGTTAGGTTAGGGAGCATGGTTCACGGGTATTGGACTCAGTAACGTCTTTATAATAGTGACAATATTTTTGTGTGTAGTTAATACTATTTTTTCAGTTACTCATGTATGCTGTGTGCATTTAAAATTTCTTTATAGTTTCAATCTCAGATATAACCTTTGTTCCCCAGAGTAGTGTTTAAGTTAGGTTAGGAGGTGTGCATCTGTTGGTGTAACATAATTATATTGAGTGCCCTTAAGGCCTATTCATTGTAGAGTATTTAATTTCTTATTTTTTAATACCATTTCCTCAGTGACTGATATTATTTTGTTGAAAACCCTTAAGGCCTGCATCTGTTGGTGTAACATAATTATATCGAGTGCCCTTTAGGCCTATTCATGGTGGAATTAATAATTTCTTATTTTTATACCACTTCCGCAGTGGTGGATATTATTCTGTGAAAACCCTTAAGGCCTGTTTCATGTGTGCAAGCAACATTTCTTACTACTTTAAATTTATTGTTGCCTGAGTTTCTAATAATTTCAATATCATGTATAACTTTTATTCCTCAGAGTAGTGTTTTAAGTTCAAGTTAAGAGGTGCGCATATTGGTGCACCATTATTTGATTGTGTTTGTAGTTGGAGGGAATATAAGTGTCTAAAATTTACAGTGTCTCATTCATCCCAGTCACAGACGCTATCCTTCCACGGGTCACGGACAATTCATTTTGTTAGTAAATTTAAGTGCACCTGTGCTGGTTCGGGATTTCTCACTAAGGGGCGCTTCCATTGCCATTACCATCTAATAGTCTTTAATAAACCCCAAGTCAAGTGAGAAAATAAAGTCTAGTAAATTCCGACAGGTTACATATATATATATATATATATATATATATATATATATATATATATATATATATATATATATATATATATATATATATATATATATATATATATATATATTTATATTTATATTTATATATATCTGGTTAACCCAAAACTGGCCATATATGGCAAAAGGTTGGCCAAATTGATCAGATAATTATTCCTTGGTCAACCTTTGGCCATAAAATGGTAGGGCAGACGATTCGGGAGTTCATTATAAGTAAAATGATATCAATAGAGTGTTCGTTCGAAAAAAAAAAGTTAGATTTTTGCCATATTTGGCCAAAGAGTGGCTATACTGGCCCTTTTGCCGTACCTGGGATCAATAAGACTGCTTTCTTTGGAATCAGCTCCCTTATTCTACATAGAAAAGGGTTGTCAAATCATAATTACCTAAAATTCTGATTAAAGCCATGTACCTCTTTAACCTAACCCGGCAGCACGAATCGAACTTGTGTCCTCGAGGTTTGTGAATGCAGCCTGTTACCCCTCAGGTGGGCTATGTAATCTACATCATTTTCTATTCAAATCCCATTATGGTGCGACCTGTGAGAAGAAAGTCTTGGAGTTGTAGACTAAAACGGTTCACCCTGAGTCTTACAAGTAGCATAGCAGTCCTCAGCTGCCGTGCTTTTATTTATTTTTTACGGGGATTAGCCCACCTGGGCACAGGTCACTGACCCACATCGGGGCCTAGGGGGGAATGTAATAGCACTAATATTAATAGTAATAATAATAATAATGATAATAATAATGATAATAATAATAATAATAATAAAGTTCCATGAAGAAATACAAAAATGAAAAAAATCAAGAGTGATAAACAATATACAGTATATATGTTGTGTTGTTAAAATAAGAGAAACAATTGAGACCCTGCAATTGTGTTTAAATTAGGCAGAAAGTCAGATCAGCAACCTGGGTTTTGGTCACAATTTTCGTGATGCCATATGGCAGCAGGGTCTACCATTAGACAATACATTATGCTTCCAATATCTTCCCAGGCAGTTGTACCACCCTGTTTGGTAGCTGCCTACTACCTGATGGTGCTCTTAGAAAATAAATTTATTATTAATAGCAAATGTATGAATGTTATTCTTAGAGCTGGAAATTAGAGGCTTCGTCCACCGGTAACCATCACACTAGTAGACAACTATTGTGATTGAATGATGGTATTACAAATTTTTGAAATTGGATAAACTATTATTTAATGTAAATATTTATTACTTTACCTTGATTTTTCACCTTGATTTATAACAATAAAAAAATATATTATTTGCTTCTTTGTGCCCTGTAAACTAGTAAGATGTTATCAAGGTGCTGTGGTTGTGGTGAAGGAGGAGGGAGATGGATACTGATCTTAATGTATTACTACACTTTAACAACTAAGGTCTTTCAATAATTAAGACTAACCATACGAGTGGTCGGAGAGAAGATTGACATGGAGGACAATGAAGCATTCCTCTTCAAATTGTTTGTGGATGTATAACTGCTGATCTTCATAATTATGAGCTTTGTTAAAAATTTATGTAATGACTTTTTTTGCTTCTCACAGGCACAGCAGGAGTACTTTAACGCTAACTGGACGATTCTGGACCAACATTTTGACCGTAGTAGAGACAACATATCGGTAGAGATTTGTGACCTGGAGGAGAAGGAGTGTATGTATGTGCTGCCAACCCTGCCACCGCCTCCCTACCACCCCCCACACAACGACCACGAGGTCAAGAACCTCCTCGTTATCATTCTTGGCTATATCCAGCGTTACACTATAGCATTCGAGACACTCTTTATGGACCAATCGCTTTACGAGGACGTCTTTTTGAGCAATATGTCCAGCGTCCACGCCAACTTGGAAGACCTGATTGAATCCCTAGTGACCTCGGTGAGTCTGTGTGACAGGGTGCCTAACCAACTCCTCATCGGGGAACTGTCTGTAAGGATGTACAAGGGTGGCAACACCGTCCTGCGCAACGAGCGAGGCTTCAGGGTCCTCCGCCAGACTCTTCTGGGACTACAGTACATCATCGACGTCTTGGGCCCACTAGTTAATGCCAGGCCCTGAGTTGACAGATGAGTGGTTGCTGGCAGCAAGAGTTGGTTACAAAGCTTCTGTTATATTGAGCTAAGTCCAGTTTGAAGGTGGTTTATGTCACATGTTTTTTTGATTAGAATTACTTGTAATTATATGATATTCCTCGATTATATATCTAATTTTTCTTTAGCAGCGGAAATTTAGTTTTACCATCATTGAGAATATACCTAAATACAAATAATTTTACACATACACTTGCGTCCCATGTGAGCCAAATTACCAACAAACTTCTCCTTATATTAGTTGTTTACTCACAGTAATAAAGGCATGTACCGTAATGTGTGTTTTACTGTACCTCACCACTCATTGTATTATTATTATTATTGGTGGTGGTGTTGATGGTAGTAATGTTATTGTGATAGTAGTAGCAGTAATAGTATGAAAAAAAAAGTTTAAAGTAGTAGTAGTAGTAGTAACCACCCAAAAGCCAGCAAGTCCTTCCTCATTGTGAAGCCAGAACATTATGAACGGGCATTGGAGGTGTTCGGTGGAAGTGAGGTCAAAATAACAAAGGATGGCCAAAGACACTTCGGCGCAGTAATAGGCTCGGCGGCTTCAAGACTGAGTACGTAATGGGAAAGGTGAATGAGTGGGTTAGGGAAATCCAAGCTCTGTCTGAGATTGCTAACACAGAGCCACATGCGGCTTTTGCGGCATTCACCCACAAAGTCAAGCATCGCTGGTACTACCTGATGCGCACTATCCCTGGTATCGGACCCCTCCTCCACCCTCTGGAAGAAGCTATCAGCATCAATTTCATTCCCAAATTAGTGAAACACCCTCACTTAACCCCAGCAGAAAGATCACTCCTTGCACTACCACTGAGACTGGGAGGAATGGGATTGACCAATCCAGAGGAGATTGCTGCCACCGAACATCAAAATTCAATTAAGCTCACGGCAGCCCTCAGAAACCACATAATAGCTCAGAACGCAGCAGGGGAGGTGGATACCAGTGAAGTAAACAAGATTCGAAGGTCCATTACGACAGAACGACAGCACGGCCAAAGCAATAAGTTGCAGCAACTGTTGCTGCAAGTACCAGAGAATTTGAAAAAAAAAAGTAGCTATTGCGCAGGAGGTGGGCGCCTTGAACTGGTTAACTACGTTACCGATAAGGGCAATTGGTTTAAGTCTGAATAAACAAGAATTTACAGATGCCATGCTCTAAGGTACGGTAGGCCAGAAGAAGGTTTGCAAGAAAGGGGGGCTTTATATGCATGAGGCATGACGAAGTAAGGGATCTCACAGCAAATATGTTGAAGGAAATCTGCCGTGATGTCAGGGTAGAACCGACCCTCCTTCCATTGGACGGTGAGATTTTCCAACATAGGACTTCAAACACATCCAACGAAGCCTGTGTTGACGTCAGTGTTCGAGGATTCTGGACGTGGGGACAGCAAGCCTTCTTCGACATCAGGATTTTTTATTCCATGGCCGCATGTCACCGTAACTTAGCTCTCGAGAACGACAAGATAAGGGCATACAGGGCGAGAATTCAGAACGTTGATCAAGGCAGCTTCACTCCTCTAGTGTTCACAACCTCTGGTGGGATGGGACCAAGTGCAAGATGCGTCTACGCCACACTCGCAGAGGTGCTATCCGAACAGAAGCAGCAGCCCTGAAGTTATGTTACAGCCTGGATGAGATGTCGACTTTCCTTCTCTCTCCTTAGGTCGGCTTTGCTCTGCCTCATGGGGAACGAGAGCATCGGCCCCAAAGCCAACAACAGTTGCACATATTGACTTCTTTTTTTTCTTCTTTTTTTACGGGAATTAGCACACCCGGGCACAGGTCAAACGACCCACAACGGAGCCTGGGGGGTGGAAAAAAAAGAACGGAAAGAAATTGTAAATATAGAAAAAAAAGGTTATACTATATTAATCTACACCACGAAGATGCCGAAAAGCCAGCTTTTTAAAGTGAGCTAGATTGTAAGAGCATGGAAACACAGAAGAAGGCAGAGCATTCCACAGTTTGGCTGTGTGAGGAAAGAAGGAGGTGCTATAACGGGTTATTCTCGTGTGACCGACATCCACAGAGACACGGTGGGCAACGCGGGCAAGACGTGTGTTACGAACCCACGGCCTTGCCGGCGGTACACAGGATGCCAAATCCACCGAACATTGCCCGTTAAAGTTCCTGTAAAAGAGAGATAGTGAAGCAACATTGCGGCGAAGAGAAAGGGAAAAGAGATTGTCGACTAAAGGAGGAGAGTTAATAAGACGAAATGCCTTTGATTCCACCCTATCTAATAGCTGGACAGAAAAAAAGCCACCCCAGATATGAGAACAGTACTCCAAGTTATGACGAATGAATCCCTTATATACTTGGAGCAACTGCTCAGGAGTGAAGTAGCTGCGGCATCTGTACAGCATTCCCAACTTTCGGGAGGCAACTTTAGTTATACTAAGGATGTGTGATTTCCAGGACATATTGGAGGAAATGGTGAGGCCTAACATATTTATTTCAGAATTTGGGGGGATAATAGCGTCCTGAAATGTAATTGGTAAGAGATCATCTAATTTACAAAGTGTAATTGGTAAATATTGAGTTTTATTACTATTGAACTTAACCAAGTTTGTACCTCCCCATTCAGAGATGCTGCACAGATCCGCGTTAAGAATGGATAGAATTAGTTGTAGTGTGAAGTAAATCATTGATGAAAAGAAGGAAGAGAGTTTGTGAAAGAACAGAACCCTGTGGGACGCCACTACTGGGAGAGAAAGAGCGAGAAATCGATCCCTCGACAACAAATGCCATGGATCGGTTCTCAAGGAAGTTAGAGATGAGAAAACAAAGTGGGGGAGAGAAACCAAAAGAGGGAAGCTTAGATAGCAAAGACTTGTGCCATACCCTGTCAAATGCTTTGGAGATGTCGAGAGCCACGACAAAAGTTTCCCCATAATCACTAAGAGAGGATGACCAAAGATGGGTGCAATAGGAGAGCAGATCACCAGTAGATCTCGCCTGGCGAAAGTCATACTGGTGATCCGACAAAAGAGAAAGGCGTTCAAGGTGACGGAGAAAATGGGAGTTCAAGAAAGTTTCGAAAATCTTAGAGAGGGATGAAGTTAGGGCAATGGGGCGATAGTTAGAGAGATTAGAATGGTCACCCTTCTTTGGGATGGGCTGAACCAAGGCATGCTTCCAAGAAGAAGGAAAAGTTTGGGTGTTTAGGTAAAGGCGAAAGAGGCGAGCAAGCACAGGGGCCAGGGCTGCAGCACACTCCCTCAGAACACGAGGGGGTATTCCGTCCGGTCCATGCGCCTTACTCACATCCAACCTGGATAACACACCGACAACCCTGCGAGTGGAGATTATAGACAAGTGCAGAGGTTCAGTAGGAGGTACAGGGGTAGGAGGGATAGAGTGGGAATCGTCTCAGGTGGAATTAGAGGAGAATAAGGTGCCAAAGAGGTTGGCTTTGTCAGGGGGAGAGTTGGCTATAGAGTTATTTGGACGGAAGAGGGGAGGAAAAGAAGGCGTGCAGAAGTTGTTACAGATGTTTTTAGATAAGGACCAGAAAGGATTTACTAGAGGAAGAATTAGTCAGGACAGCGGTCTTTCTTTTAATAAAATTCCGCTTGGCCCTACGAAGACTAGCCTTACAACGATTCCTAGAAGTAATAAAAGAGGTGTGGGTAATAGGAGGAGATAGTTTCATAGCTCGATATGCCCTATCTCTCACCCTGCAAGCACACTGTGTGTGAAATGGCACAACACTTCATCTCTAATGGCAAGATAGCCGACATATTAAGATTGTATCCACTTTTTTGCACTTAGTAACTATATCAATTCTCATGTACAGAACCAAATACGCAATGTGCTTGAATACCTCTCACGTAAATGTGAATAACAAAGTGTGAGGCCAGACATACTGCCTCACACGCCTGTACTCACGCATTTGTGAATAAGTTACCCTTTATGTATAGAACTAAACAAATAACGTAAATGAAATACTGTGTAACATTCAGTGCCATAATATCCTGACAACGGGGGTTAATTATTATGACCCTTTGTAAACCCTACTCTGTAATCCTTTTGCGCTACCGCTCGGAGGGTGAGTGTGGGGTGCACAATAAAGTAGCCGCTGTAAGCGGCAAAATCAAAATCAATCAAGCAAGAGAGCAGGAGCGATCAAGCCATGAGTGTAATGTGAAAGTTTTGGTAGAAGATGGGATAAATGCACTCATATCGCCCTGTATAACCCCAGCAATGCTGTCAGCACATACCGAGGCATCCCGAGTGGAAAAACAACATTCATCCCAAGGAAAGTCGGTGAAGAATTCTCGCAAGGATTGCCAGCTTGCCCTCCGATAGTGCCATAGTTGACGTTTAGAGGGGGGTGGGGGATGTGGTCGTGCCCAGTTTGATTTAATAGAAATAAGGTTGTGCTCAGAAGACCCTAAGGGGGCAAAAATTGAGTATGAATAGTGTGAGGGGTTAGAGGTGAAACAAAGATCAAGAATGTTAGCAAGTTGATCGTGTCGATCAGGAACGCGTGTATGGTGTTTGATTATTTGTTCCAAATCATTAAGTAAGGAAAAAGAGAGTGCCTCGGCTCCACCTGGGTCATCCCTTGCAGAGCCAAGCCACTCTCTGTGATGTACATTGAAATCCCCTAGGGAGAGGATCTCGGTGTTGGGGTGTGTCGATAGCAACAACTAATGGCAAGAAGTGAGATAGTCAAAGAGTTCGAAATAGTTGGTAGAGTTGGGAGAACAGTATAGGAAACAAAGAAAAATAGTCACAGTAGGTAGAGATATTTTGAGCCAGATGACATCATAAAGGGGAGATTCAAGATCCGTGAGTCGGGTTATAGGTGTACGTGTGTTGCAGTAGGCGCATACACCTTCCTTAGAACGGAAGTAGATATAAAGGTTGTAGTTAGAGACTTGAAAAGGTTTGGGTGAAGCTGCTTTGGTCAGTTGAAGTTCGGAGAGTAGTAAGAGGCCGGGGGAAGAGGATGATAGATGGTGCTCCACAGAAGAAAAGTTGGATCTCAGTCCGCGAATGTTGGAAAAATGAAGTGTGAAAAAAGCCGATCCTCCAGCAACCGCGGTGGCGTTAGTTGAGGCCCCAGTAGCTTGATGATGATCAGGTCGGCCCTGGGGTTCACAACCTTCCCGACCAGTGGGACCCATCCGAGAAGGCCCCGCTTCAGTATTAATATCAACTGACATAGGAGAATAAAATAGAATGAATAAAATAGATCAAGAATGAGTACGGTTTTATTTGTGGTGTTGTCAATAGTAAGAGAGACAGTTGAGACCCTG